AAGCGGAATGGCTCAGAAAGTAATCGTATCTTGGACACTGGGTCCGTGTACCCAACAGCAGAATTTGGGTGAGGTTGCAGGAGTTCGCTGACCGGGTCCCCTCGAAATGGCAGCGAGAAAAATAACTCCTTCATTTCAGCCCTCCGCACATTTGTTTTGTCGGACGTTCTCCTAAAAATTCGCATGATAAGTTTATGGAGAAAATCGTTTTTTCGTAAACTGTTTCACATACAGGAGAATTTATTTTTCAGCCGGATTGCATATTCTCCAGAGCTCGATTGCTTAGGCAGCGGACTAAACTTCGTTTCTAACTTGAAGGGACAAAACTGTGGAAATTCATGCGTTGTCTGTCCATGTTTTCTTTCAAAAAACACTTCTACGACTTGTCCCATCAGATGTTCTACTAATAACGACGTCCAGAAAGGAGAGGTAGTAAAAGTTAACGTTGGGTGGTTTTGATCAACTTTATCTAAGTGTTCGAATCCAGGTTTTCATTTTCCATTACAAAAATGTCAGCAGTCTATCAAGCATAAGAGTCATGGTCCTTTATAACTGAATAGAACTGGTTCTCTAGTTTTCCCATGAAACCTTGCGCTAGTAGGGACACAAAGGCTTATACTACAATTCCGTCGATCGGACGACAAAATTGGTCGTCAAATATGGAATGAGCATTCGTCTTGCCTCGAAAGAGCAAAACTTTTGAAACTACGACCGGTACGCCAATTAGGAAATCCTGCTTAACAGTCTCATAGCATAAAGTTTTTTTATTGTAAAGTCAATTTGGCAAACACGTGTTTTCGGTAACTCTTCATCAGGCCAAAACGATTACCTAGAAGTTTAAGTTATGCGAATTACATGACTTATAAGTGATTCGGGGAAAATTACCATCCATCGTTCCCAAGCCACTCGCATGACGAGGCGTGTTATGGCGTGGTCGGCGTGTCGTGGTCATTGGGTCAAGGGGTCGAGGGAGAAGGGGGGCGTAGGCTGTGAGTGCGTCGGGTACGTTGTGTACACACCCGGCCATCAGGAAATTGGGGCGACATTGGGGTCGGCGTTGGCCACGGAAGACAGAGCGCCTGTATCAGAGTCTTCTGACAACATAGCACTGGATTGGCTAGCCGTATAGCCACTGCGTCGGCTGTAACTAGCACCTGTTGGCGTAGGCCTCTGGAGAAGCTTGCTGGTGTCCGGTAGACAACCTGAAAGGCTTCTTTGACATCGACTCGGTGATTCGTATCGACGAGATGTGCGAGAATAGAACTCGAGATCGATTTCTTTTCACCTCTGTCTAGCCAGGCCGGTATGTGTTCACGTACTCTCTTTTCCAAGCGCCTCGTTGTACGGCCAATGTATCCCGCTCCACAGGAGCAAGTCTTCGTGAGAGGAACATCAGCTAACAAGGGCGAGACATTTAAGGGGTTGCAAAACCCGAGATTGTGTATGTCGGACTGATGACGGCTAAAAAAGTTGGAAAGGGTTATCCCAGTCACCCTTATCTTTATCAGCAATGTTATACAACCTATAATAGCAACCACCGAGCGGCTGTTGACGGGCTCGAGACTGCGCCTCAAGGCACAAGGGGACCAGTGCGTCTCTCAAGGGAATCAGTAAGTGTTCCTCTACCATTCATAACATCGTTTTCCTATTAAAATTCGCATTCCAAAAGTGCCCAGTAGGCTGTATGATGAAAGTCTATTTTCTCTTCTGACTCTGTGAGACCATAACGACCCCATATTGGGAACTAGTTTCATTGAGAGTGACTAGTATTTTCTCGATGATATGCCAGTTCAAGTGTGTAAAATCCTGTTCGACGAAGAAAGCCAGGGGACAGGTGCAACAGTAGGTCCGAGGAAGTTCGAAAGGCCCTGCCAGTCAGTCACTGAATCCACTATCAGTGTCTGCCATTTCATTCTTATTTGGCAAGTACGATGTCATGGTAATTATAAAAAGGAAGGTGGTGCTCTCTGTAATTCATCTCCTGCAGGAAGCATTTTCATCGACCTGAGCAGTCGTCTGCAAGAACGCTTAAAGTCTTGGGGTTCAACTTCCGCGGTCCTACTGCAATGTTGATGGAGCTTAAGCGCTTTGCATGTGGAAGTTTAGCAACTATACGCGTGAGTCTTATCCTACCAGGCAACTCCTTACTGCAAAATTAACTGAAAGGCAGATTACTTCCGAAGACATGAGCATTACCTACCTCTTCTGAATAATTCCCTGTTACTAGTAGACAACAGCGAAATTAACTAAATGCACAAGAAGTTCGTCTTGGTGTACAGGAGCAATTTTGCACGCCCATGCAATGAGCATGATGATTGAAATCCCCATACTAAGTCTTCAACTTAGGCAGTCTAGTATTGTCAGCCAGTACGCTACCATCGCTTACCACAAATAATGTGTTCTCTTTGAGAATTTGGAGAATTCACTCTGACCCAACTGTGAAAAACTCGGCGCCTCGATGGAATTCGAACCCACGACAGCAAGGGGAGGCTTTGGTACAGCCAACGTTCTAACCATATGAGCTACGAGGCCCCATCGGACGACGCGAGTTTAATCACATTTGGGTCAAGTAGTTATCTGGTGGATTCTAGATGTATTACTTAGGAAATCCTGCTTGGCAGTAAGCTTACTGTATCAGATTTGGTGGATTCCAGACGTTGCAGCAGGTTTGGCGGGTAAACTTGGCCCAAATGTGATTAAACCCGCGTCATCCGGCAGGGTTTCGTTGCTCAGATGATTAGAGCGTTGGCTATAGCAAAGCCCCCCCCCTTGCTGTCGTGGGTTTCAAGCCCACCAAGGCATCGAGTTTTTCACAGTTGAGTCGAAGTGAATTATTTGAAATCTGCCAAAACACCTCTGCATTGGGAGGATGCCCATGCACACTTTGAAAACTGTCAGTTGTAACATGTTTCAAAAGAGGGTGAACATGCAAAACATAGCTGGAATGGTTTGATAAATAGAAGGGAAAGTACTTTGTGGTAATTATTTTCTCTCCACGTATACGACATGCTTGAGGAAATGCCTTAACTATCGTTGACTACCAAATTAAAACGATATGGTACTCTTACGCTAGAGCATTGATTTAAAACCCTCTGAATAGCCAGCGTCCCTAAAACGGACCGCGCTGCAAATGCACTGAAACAGAACAGCCGTCAGACTGACTCCCAGCATGCGTTTGTCGGGATGCGCTGTTTCTGGCATGCCTTATACGAAGGTCTTCATACCACGTCAGCCACTGCGCCCAATCTCATTACCAGTTGGTTGAAATGCTCGAACAGTCGACCGGCACATGGAACAAGGAAGAGAGAGCGAGAGTGAAGGCGCCATTGGGAAATCTATTCTCACGGCACATCAGTGCATTACTCACTGGAATGCTAACGCGCCTAAGTCTATGACAACGTGCCAAGGGTTGTGGTTAATTAGGTTACCAGTTGAAGTTTAAGCGTATCTGATTGAGACAGATTACTTAGGTAGGATTGTAATACTGATTATCACGGGAAAAGACCCTACGATATTTTGAACTGGTCGAAATGTTGGCTTTTGAATGCGCTTCTTCTCGACCCCTTGTAATAGCCGCACTCGGCAAAAAGTAGCTAATTAATTAATATGCATTTTCAGCACTGATTTTCGATGTCCTTATGAATTAAAATAGATTTCATAGAAAACACTGACAAAAAATATTTTTTAAATTCATTTTGTAGCTAATCACGTCGTCTTTATACTTTTACTCGAATAAAGGGCATACTTAGATTTTGAAAAGTTTTCCAAGTCTCAAATGATTTCCAGCCAGATAAACCAGCGCATTAACGTTTAGCGACTTCAGTCTACAAGGTGTATACTTTCCGCGCACGAAAAATCAAATATTCCTCTCTGCCTTTAACAAGATAGTATGAAGAGTTCACAAAGATTTGCGATGAAATTGGGATATATTGTGTACCTTATGTGGGGTATTAATCCATGAGCCTCGCACGATCATAAAGAATCTTATGACTAGAAACTTTTTCAAAACCGAAAGGTATTCTTTCTTTGAGTATAAAGTAAACAGATGAACTTGTCTGGAATCGAATGAGTAAAGCAAAGCATATTTTGTACATTTTTCTACAAAAATCAATGCTGAAAATACATACCATTTAAGCGGAAATTTTTTTTCGAGCGCGGCCTTTACAAGAGGTCGAGGAGGGGCGCATTCAAAAGCAAACATCTTGCCGAGTCCGAAATATTATAGGATTATACCGCCTGATAATCAATAAGTAATCCTTCCTAATCGAAAATGCATTTTAAAATTTCGGCAGACATTTCATGAGATCGGCCATGCACTGTACTTCCTCAAGTTACATACTGCATGCATATTGCGTTCCCCCAAAATAAACGAATCTGTTCGCTCATCTGTCTTAAATTCATATTCGCTCCAAACTATTATTCAAGTATCTTGATTTACCAGGAAAATCTTTTCAAAATCCTGGGGCGCGAACGAAATAGTTGAGCACCGAAGCTTTAGAATGCAGGAAACGACACGTTTAAAAGCTGTGATAGTTCATCTGTCAATGTGAATGGTGACAGCGACTAGGGTATAGACCGCAATGACCTCAGAACTGTAGCTTATCCTGCAATCTTGCTCGAAAACATTACCACCCACACCAACTATCAAGACGCAGATGCTGTCAACTTTCCTTCTGTAGCTCACACGCATTCAAAAAACATTAAAAGATTCCTAACTGGATATCCAAAAGTCAAAGCGATGACTGCCTCATTTCTGCTGCCTACGGTCGTTTAGATAGCGAATTCCAGTCGTGCCACGTCTGGCTTTTAACAACTACAGTCAGTCTATTTTCAGCGAGCCTTCTCATTGGCTGCTGTCGACCAATCGGTGGCCTCTTGGCACCTTACTTGCGCATCAGATCTCACGAGGGCTTGAGTATGGCCGCAATAAATTTCCAGTTGCCATTGCGTTCACTCCACTCGGCTGAAGATTACCTCCAGGGTTGGAAATTAGTGTGAAAATGACCGCAGTAGCACCAGCTCCCAAAGCCCTGCCTTCTATGGAACCCACAACACCCCCTACACCTAAACAAAGACCCACCCTCCTCAGTTTGGCCATGAAGCGACGCCAGGCCCTGGAAGAAGCTAATCCGCTTGACCTTATCAGAGAACGCATCCTTATGCAACGTCAACAGACCGCGGAATCTGAAAACCACACGCCCACGTCCCTCAATACCCCCAAAACTCCGCAGACACCCCAGGTCGCCTCTGAGAATCCCCCTCCTACATCTCCTTCCCCAGCTCCCGAGCCCGCAGAGAGTAAGATCCAAGAACCGGGTAATGAGGAAAACCTAATTGACATGTAACTTTTTTCAAAAATATATTACTGCAAATAGACCGTTTTCTACGTTTTCTCCCCCACCAGTAAATATCTTTCACTAAAGTTAATGTCTCGAAGGTAAAGTGGGTGGCTTGCCAACTAGTTTGACTGTGTTACCCGAAGATATCGATTTTTGTAGGCCACGTGAGTGGCGGAAGAGAGGACCTTCAAATGATAGACGTCGCGCGTTAATTCTGCACGCTGACATGTCTGTGAACGCTAAGAATGACAGAAAGAACTGAATTCCACAGCATTTGTCCTGTTTTGGGAACTGAAAACCAAAGAGCCAAGGCTGAGACGTCCGGGCGGTACAAAATGCAGGCCGACAAAAATGATCCGAATGATGTTGTGCCATCGAACACTAACGCAAAAGACCACAACTCAGGCGATAAACTGAAATTGCTCTTTCGCGACAGACATGGAACTAAGTCTCTCTCAGAACAGAAAGTTAACGACTGGCTCTACAAAAACCGGTCTTTCTATGACAGTGTGCCTAAGGACTTGACCGAAATCCCCGACGCTATTTGGGCTCCTCAGGAAGGTTCAAGAGTTACGGCCTACGCCAGCCCTGGAGCGGCTGATCTCACCGGCAATAATACAAGACTCGTAAACGAAGGAGCCAACGGGAGCTCTCAACTGTTTCCCCATGGGGAAAAGGTGGTCAAAAAAGCAAAACAACGACGTCCGAATGCTCATCACTCCAGTGACACGGTTCGCAGAGCCTTAGTCACCGCAGTGACTTCAGACAAAATTAGTAAACCAGAGGGGTCTCGAATCAAGCCCAGAAGGTCCGCTAGCACAAAACGCGTCCGCAGCTTTCCTTTGGGAGGGAAACAGGGCAAACGCCACCGGTCCTCCAGCAATCGACCTCAGACCATGGTGAGTGGGTCCCAGCCTCCCTATTTTTTTCAACCGCCCTACGAGAAGGTGCCCTATTTATCGGATGTGAGGATGCTAAGTCAACTAGGTCTGCTACCGAAAAATCAAATTAATGTGCTGACTAATGCAATAGGTCGGGTGACCAAGGAGTTTAACTCTCCACGGACCTCAGTCATGTCTGTATCTCCGCGAAAGATAGGTCCAATTTCAGACCGATCGTTAAGAATTCAGGATCACTGATGCGTTCCTCGATCGCCTATCTTATCATTTTATACCGTTCCTTGGTTTCCACACAGCTCCTCCTCTTTTTATTGTGATGTGAGCTTGCGTCACAATTGCAAAGTAAAGCTGTTCCGAGCAACCGTACCTTTTGCTTACAGTTAAATGAAAGATTTCGTACAGCAGGCGAAAATGGGATACACGGAGCCAGCAAACCCACCGAGCAGGGTATTAGGACGTCACGAATGCATTCTGTTTGTAAGCTAGGGCGCGCATTACTGGTCTTTAAACCTTCACGAGCAATTTTTGGCATTTATATGTAGAAGAAATACGCAGAATTGAGAAGCTCGGTTGCCCTCTGACAAGTTGGTTTTATCTGCACTACCACTTAAGTCTTTCCTCATCTTCATCGAACAGAAATCTGGGTCGCAGCGTCTTTGAGCTTGACGCTAACATTTAAAAATAAGCGTATCCAACTGTCTTTGTGCGGCACGAAACCAAGCCCACCAAAGGCCTACCAGCGCAGTAGGTCAATAAGTGAGTGCAACCCTAACTCCTCATATGACAGTTTGTGACGCATACCATGCGTAAACAGAGAAATCTCAATGCCACATGTACGCTCAGCTGAGCCCACTCATGAATGACGACGATATCGTCTTGAGTGACTCTGAAAAGTGGTGCCAAACATTGGCAAACAGAAGGAATTAGTCAGTTAAATATGAATGCTCAGGCCCGCACGCGATCTGTCAAGATCAGCACAGAACATCCACCTAGGCCACGGTAAAACTTTGCTAAACGTCAGCAGTACACTAATCAGCCCTGTCAGTAATGAGATCAGCATTAAATTCAGGTGACTAAACCGACCCCATTAATTTTTTCACAAAACTGGCAAAATGTTTACAATTTTTTACTGGGGAAGTAAAATAAGGTGGGGAAGAGATAGAATGATAACAGTCAAGTATACAACCCAGAAGAGATGTAGACGGATACATAAGTTGGACCATAAATTTTCGTCAGTGAGGGGCAACCACGCATGAATATTATACGACCACCTGAAATCCTGTTGCTTTTGGTGGCAATTCCGAGGAATAGCCTTGGCAAGGATGACCTTTCTGTCAGACCGTCTCTTCGTAATGGGCACCAGAGCGGTGGGGTGTCTGGCTCGGCGCGTAAGTAGTCCTCCAATTTGGTCAGCTTATTATTTTCAAAAAGGATTCCTGCCAGGCTCTGTTAAGACAGAATTCCGACAAAATTTCAAAGCTTTTTAGGTAAAAATTCCTTGATAAGTGACAGCGCGTTTCTGCTTAAAAAAACGCCACCATGGTACTGTAAGTGTCTGAGTAATGTAAGAACCAAGAACATCCAGCGTTATTGCACATTTTGATGGCAAAAGCATACGAGTGGATTCTTCCGAAGAAGTTTCCTTTTGTGAGCTCCTTCCGGAAATTTGTAGAAAGATTTATTCGCTGGCGACTTAGGATGAATTTTGAATCCAGCTGAAGACTGTGACTAGCTAAGAGACTAAAAAGACCCCAAAATGCCGAACACCGGTCAGCCATGCCTTTCCACAAGTGTTCATGTAAATACCATGAACGTATATCCCCAGGATTACGGTCAGGCAAGAACTTCTTTCATATGAAACAAAGTAGGCATAATTCAGCCTATTAAAATAAGCCAAATCTCATATATGGTTGGGGTACGAAGTACTGCAGTTCTTAGGCTTTAGGGTAGGAATTTCCAGTTTTTTTCGGATTTTCCTATCGAACATTTTTCAAAAACGATTTATTTCCTTTTCTAATACGCTTTGGCAAATTTACTTTTACCGCTAAGTTCACAAGCATCGGAATTTTCATTTAATTTCTCAGACTGATCATGTAAGGATTTCGACTTGTCCACTGTTTGCCTCGCGGATCGACAACTTGTGTGCCGCCTAAGCAGTTTAATACACGGAGAAGATGAACAAACCAGCATAGTCACTAATGACTCCCAGATTTCAAGGGAAACTGGAGGGATGCTGGAAAAATCGAGGGTCGTAACTTGAAGTGCAACACACAGCTTAGAGGGGGAGGTCGCTATGAGACATTTTATCCGAATACATTGACGCGTGATATCGCGCAACACTCGACAACCACTTTTGCTGACCCAGGGGCGACATCAAATTTACACTGTTCGGGAGTTCGATCTCAAAGAGTGGCAGGTGGTAAACACGAGACTTCGTTCTGGGACTTGACTTCACAATTCTCCGGGTTTTTCCATTTAAGCCGTTTGGATACAGGAGATATGGGTTCCTGCACTGGAAAGTGCCGTACGCTTAATTCCAAGGATGCCTCTTCCCGTGTCCTAAATATAACCTTAATCCTAACATTAACACCAACTCTAACCCCCATGAGATTTAGCGCATGGTCACATGTAATACTTGAGCGTCCAATTGCCTTTGCCTTACCTATAAATTTACTGACTTTTGATTAACGATTCGACCGTTGGGTCCGACGACGTCCACCGTGTGCTCCACAGCAAGATGAAGCAGGCACGGCGACTTGCATGCGACTTAGCTTATAGTGAACGTAGACTTTCACAGCATCTACCGCGCTCTCTCCTCCCCTACCCGGTGTCAAGATGAAGTCAAGAAGACCGGAGGTGAGGGATGGCGCAGGCAGATGGCGCAGCCGAACCCGCACCTTGGCAATCCACTACATACCCCTGGTCAACAACAAACACTTGGTCAGGATTTCGACCAATAACAACAGCATTGAAATGGACCCGAAAGATGAGAATGACTGGGTAGCCATGCTCACGACCTGTATGCACAGCGGGAGTGCAAACGCATCTACCGGCAGGCAATCAGAGGTCAGAGAACTGCCAGCACACACTAGACTGCGAGGACCATACTTTGACTTTTGACTACAAACACACACACATTACAGTTCAGCCATCGCATCCGGCGATGTCCACCGTGTGCTCCACAGCAGGGTGACAGCAGGGACGGTGACTTGCGCATGAGTTAGTTTAGGGTGATGGCAGACTTGCATTGCATCTACCGCGCGCTCTCATCCTCCCCCGCCTGGATCCGATGTCAAAAGAGAGTAAAGAATACCGGAGGCGGGGGAGGGTGCGGGTGGCTGGCACGGCGAAAACCCGCACCTGTTTCCCTAATTCCCAAATCATTTTAAACCCAAACTGCCGTTAAACTTGCATTCAGGGTTTCCAAACTACATGCTGTATATTTTCCGCGTACAGGAAAGCATACCTCCCTATATGCTATTAAGAGGAGACCATATGGGGTTCCTAAAACTTAACAGGGTATTTGAGCCACATTGTAGACTTTACAAACAACATTGGTAAATATAGAGACACGATGGCTTAGGGACGGGCACTTCAGGGCCTTCAAAAATCTCATAATTGGCAATTTCTTAAAACCAAATTATACCCTTCCTTCAAGTACAAAATCTGATGAAGACACAATTTTCTATCAAGTAAGAGGAAGAGTAAATATTTTGAGCGTGTTTTCTATGAAATATATTTTAATTTATAAGGATATCAAAAATCGATGAGAAAAATTCATATTACATAAATAATCATTCTTTACAGAGTGTAGTCTTTGTAGGCGGCCGGATGGAAGTTCGCCTAAAAAAACGACATCCCAAAGTAACTGAAATATCTGGGGATTGTGCCGCATGGTAATTAATATTAAAATCCTATCTAATTGTCTTTTCGAATCGAAAACGCAATTCAGAATTTCGGTTAACACTTTAAGAGTTAGCACATCTACTGTAGGCGTACCACTACACCCCTTGATCCTCTGATCCAGCCAAAAACTCGAGGCAGTATACGTAAGACAAGAGAGGCGAAAACACCTGGATTTCATCACAACCGATGTGCCACATTTGCTTTGAGGGGCTTTGGTGACAAAGGCAAGAAAATTGGTGTGACTTTTTCTGACTTGTTTACGTTGCCAGCGCAACCGAGGTAGGAGCCCCAGCCCTCAGACGACGTCACCAACATTGAAACATTGATTTACGTTATGTTGGCCGACTTTGGGAATATTCAGTTATACAGAATTCGCGTAGGCCGAACTATCCTAATTACTTCTCAAGCCATTAAACTGCTTGTACCTTTCCTCACGGTATTCAGAAGGGAAGAGGAAAGTCCCCCCGAGAGAGCAATGACAACTGCCTGAGTGTACATGTTTTTCCGTAGAAGAAACTCGCTGCTCATCAGAGATAGGAAAAGCCACTGCTACCCGGGCGGGTCTTGAAAAAGGTAAGATACAGGAGAAGGAACCCCCATGGTAATACAGGTGGTCTTGGTCAAAATTCCACGAAGGGTAATTATTTCCGTGTCCTAACTCTGACTCTGGCCTCAACCATAACCATAAACTCCGACTTAAATCCAACCTTAACCTTAACTCTGCCTCTACCTTAGCTACGGCCCTAAACTTATTCTAACACTAACATTAGCCTTGACACTAAACTAGATATTTTTGGAAATTAATGCAAGGTCCCGGAATAGGGGAATTCCTATTCCCGTGTTTGCCTTAAAGCATTTTTAAAATAAGAAAATCACAGTATCAGCAGAAGAATTTTAGCTCTGGGTTTCTTCCTATATCGTGCTCTAGTTTTAGTTTGGCTGACAAAATCTCACCTTCAGCGACCAAATCATGCTTAAAATCCAGGAAAGGCGAAGCTGCATTTGATCCTACGAGGTGGGCATTATGGTTCAACAGCCATTTGCTATGAAAACAAAGTTACTCATCAGAGTGAACGCTTTGCTCGACAAAAAATTTTAGGAAGTGACAGAGGCGTTGGGTGAAATTAAACCAAATTTTTTTCGGTATGCTGCAGGAAATGCCCACTTATATTTGCCAAGACAAAATGTTACTGCTTACTTTACAAAACGTCCAACAGTATTTACAAAAACAGTCTGTTGTAGGGCAGAAGGAGCGTTTCGATTGGAAGTCGCCTCGTGCCAGGATGCCAGCTCTTCCCATGCTCGACCAAGGCCGCACCCTGTCAGCTAATAGCCCTAAGAAATGGCACATACACAGCCGAGGAGGATGTTATGCGTCGGCTGAAGAGGGGAAGTTTCCGAAAGCTCTTTGAACGGTGATCAGGCTGCTACCGCCGTCACAATCATCAGTGAGGTCGCCGCCGCCGCCGTCACCGTCACCGCCGCCGTTACCGCCATCAGAAGTGCCAGATTTTGTTGGTTTTGTATACTACAATATACGCAAAGCAGAGCAGAAAAGAGAACTCGTCTTGTCATCGCTAAACGCTCTCGCTCCACGTACTTTTAGTTCCCTTTTTAGTCCCTTCAAACTGACATATGTGCCTTAGACAGTGCTCGCAAGCCCGAAAATTTAGTCTTGTGTAAAATTTTTGTCCATATTGTGATTATGGAAACGTAAAAACGGTTTTTCAGGTTTCAGTCCATGGGTCTGGGGAGGGCAAAGGAGAGTGAGGCTATTCAGAAAAGCATGAGCACGGTTCATGAGTAAAAGGCACTAATTGTAAGTACAGACCTTATATGTATTATCTCGCATGATCCCCAGGCGAGATTTATCCTTCAAATTTGCTGCCTCTTTCAAATTTGCTGCCTCTTTCCATTCGAACCGATACCTGGAATTCGATGAGTACTCCGAAAAGTTTCTCTGCATGTTTTACTACGGGCATTGACCCCACTTACATCAAACATGCACTTGCTGCCCTACTGGGCCTTCCCAAATGAGATGAGGTCTTCGGCATTTTCGTGCACATTTATTGAAGGAACAAATACGATGAGAACTTCTATGACGAGGGATATACTCACCTAAAATTTACCGAAGCAGAGACTTCACTGTCGCGGAAAAGTAGCGTCTCTCACACTACTTCGATTAGAAGGCGGAATATTGGCATTCCATGAAAAATTTCGGCAAGTGACCTTAAGGATAAAGATGCACATCGTTAAAACCATGACAAAGATGCAGAAAAATTGGCGCTAACCAGAAGCCCCCTTGACTTGCAGTTCTTTCCGTTGAACTGTCCCAACAAAGTACGAACGCCGTGTTCTCCATTGGATAATATTCAGCCATGCAGATCGAAGCTTGTCCGTAGAAGAAACAAACTCTTCTTACTTTTCTGGACTACTACTGAGTTGGTTATTTCAGACTCTCCTTGCAACAGCGTGCCAGCCGGCAATAAAACAATATAACTTCCCGTAATAAGTTTTTTTTCCATTTTTGCATACTGTCAGACTCGCTACTTGTTTTCATTTGATTTACTAGTTCCTCGGCGTCCTGCTAGGTATTTGTAACTAGGCGCAGCATTATCTTCGAAATAACGTCAAAATCTTTTCCAATGCGAGTAAAAGGACCAGGAGTATGGCTTTCAGTGTGCAACTTCCGTAAAACCAAAAAACCATGGAATACAGCCACGTAAATGTAAAGCTTCAAATTCTAGCGGCCGGCAATATAATTTGGAGTCAGAAAGTGGATATCCTTTACCTTCGCTAAAAGATTTAATTGTTTCGAGAGGAGTAATAAAGTTAATTTAGGTAATTTTGGTACTCCCCAGAACCTCTTTGTCCACGTCCTATGTACTGTTGGCGTAAGCTGAGCATCAGCTTGCTGTCAGACGGGGACATCCAGAGTCTCGGGCGGAATTCCTTCAGAGTGTGGCTAAATCTAACACGGTCGATGCTGAACCGGTCTGCTCTGGTTTTTCCACTAGTCTGTCGTTGTTTCAAACGAACATCTCAAACTAGGTCATAAGGTTAGGCGATACTCGCATGATCAGACAAGTGAGAAAGGCTTGTCTGTTTTCCGACCACTCGGTCGATCATCCCACGGACCTGTCTTCGGCTTTCATGTCCCTCCGCCACTATCTGACTACATAACAGTCAAGGCAGTTCACTGTCGCATCTGTCAACTACAGAAGCAAGTGCCCCAGCAAGGGGGGCGCTACCTGCGATTCGGAAGGCATTACTAGACCTCAATCGACATCCGTGAACTACCTATCTGGCGGGGCGAGCAGGGAGTCATGCGCAGCGTCCAGGTGTACTGTACAGATGGGTCTCTGAAGAGAATAGCCGATTTCGTTTGAAACATCAGTCGGCAAATGCAACGCGCCCAGAAAATTCCTCTTTTTCTTGCGGTATATCAGTAGTGGATCGTATGTTCGCAGCAATTAATGAACTGGGATATTTCGGACATGCGAAAGTCACTTTTGAAATTAAAAAATTTAAACGGCTATCCTTAAGCAACAGAACCGGATAAAAGGTGAGGTTGGGGTGCCGGAATGGTGTGATGGGCAGCAGGATGTGGACAGCAGTCTACGTCGGCATGACGTGGTGTCCCAGAAGGAAACGGGTTGATATACAAAATCGGTATTTGAAGGTCGGTTCAAGGGAGAGATTCAACATGTCCTAGTGTTCTATAGGAGCCGGGTCGTAGACTAGTGAAAACGCTGCAATTAACCAGGTCAGTGACTTCTGTAAAGTGGTGATGCCACCAACTTGTTCGACACTATTGAGGCCTGACTGACTCTTTATGTATGGTAAAGCAGAAAACAACTGTGGCACATTTGCGTCTTCCGTTATCCTCGGGTAGCTTGTTTTTGACATAAAAGACGATTTTTTAAATGAATATTGTTTTCGGGAGTCGTGATTTGAACAGACGGTAGTCGTAATCAACTTCGCTCTAAAAGAACCATCTGAACGATTGGATGGTTGCCTCTGTGCTTTGCGACTGGCTTATTGCTGGAGCCTTCCTGATAAATATACCTAACAAATTTTACAGCGATGCCCACGCAAAGATTTAGGATGTCGAAGTCAGTAAACGTAAGTTTCAGCTTACTATTCAATAGACTAGTGGAATAATATACGCCACTGTGGGAGAGAGAAAAGGGCAAATGATTAAAAACGCTTATTGTAATGCTGATGGAAAAAGAGGGATAGCGGCCTGGTGGGCTAAATCGCTTTATCCTGAGGTCAAGGAGAAGAAGGAGGGTGCCTTTGGAATGTGCTTGCGATTCCTCTGTACTATGAGGGGGCAGGGTACTAATATAAATACCTGGAGGTCGTCTTGTGTCAAGGTAGACGAAGGGCTCGAATGAAGCCTTCTGCGAGCAGAAGTTTGAGTTGGGTCATATCATGGTCACCATCTGTGCCGTCACAAGCACCAGCTGTAGTAGGAATTTGGAACGCCTCGTTGACTTTTAACAAGATCACAGGCAGTCAGACTTTATGGTCGCATACACGGGTGGCGACCCATCAACTGAAGCCTTGCAGCCAGTAAAATTAATTGATAAAAAACCTATAGCTGGCTTTTTAGAATCTTTTGAATACCTATTGGTGTGGTGATATCCTAGTAGAAACGGAGTCAGAACTATCTTAGTCTTTAATTGGCGTTCTCCTCCAGTCACTCAGACGTTAGCGGAAATAGGAAATCTGATACAGATTCAAAATTGGCACTCCACCTATTTGTGGTTTGCTGAGACATGTTGCGCATCTGTTGGAGTCAAAAGCAAATACGAAAAATTACGGCAGACACTATGCTATAGAATTAAAAAGCTTGTCTCAGAAGTATTCGACTAAAATTCCCTTGCCCATTTCGCGTGATGAAGAACATAACACAGTGATAATGCCAGAGGGGAAAGAGTCGACGCTATTTGTGCAGGCTATAATGAGAACCATTAATTAGCCGTTTTAAGCGCCAGAGCAACCCCATGATCACGAAGTATTCTAGGTATTTGATGGTTACGGCAAGTTCTCACTGTTTCGCCAGACCTGCAGATGTTTGGAAGTCGCGTGCATTTGCGGAGTGCGTGAGTGAAGATGAAAAGCCTTCATTCATTTTCATTCCCTACGTCTTATCAGAAAGCTGGTAGAATTTCTTTGCTGTCTGGGTCTTCCTCCGTTGCCCGCTCGTCAGACAGCCTGACTTCGGCGGCTCTGCTGAAAGGGAAATTTACCCCGGAAGGGTCATCCAAGGCGCAGGGACAACAGTCATCGTCGTTCAAAACCCGGCTAAACCGTGGTTCGCCGAGAAGTGGTTGCATGGGGTGGCTTGAGGGCCGGATTTTTTTCTCTAGTACTTTCATCCAATAGTGGACCTCCTCATTCACCCCTCTGGCACATCAGCACGAGTTTCAAGGATTGTGCAGAATGAGAAGCGCGGCTTTATTTTATGACAGACAGCCTTAACCTTGTCAGAAGTTACCACAGCGGTATTGTTGACTACGCCTTATTCGTCAGACTCAAGAGCCTGCGTATTTACAAATGACAAACGCACGTTTTCAGTTATTTGTCAGGAGACCTATACAGTAATACAAGGCAGGGTAGAAGAGTGAAAGGTGAAATACAGTCAATGACAAGGGATCGCGTAGAGGGGGGGTAAAGATGTCTGGTGATGGTCTCCGCACGTTCTCGCCAAATCTGCTACCCGTTTGCGCCACATTAAGATGGCCCGCAGTGCTGTCCGCCGGCAAATGCGCTGGTTGGACAGTGGTTAGAGGCAGCCGAGGGAAACGGTGACGATATGGGGGCGGGGGGGGGGAGGAAGGTGTGTAAACTGTTTTGTTCATCGACACGCAGGCGCAGGGAGGAGGTAAAAGGTGGAGCCGAAATACGGTGGGGGTGGGTTTTTTAGGGGGTGCAAACAACCGTGAACTGATTAGTAATAAGTCGGTGCGTACCGGCAACCAAGGTCAGGCTTTGTCGACGATGGCTGTAGTGCCCGACAAACGCCTTTTGTGTGCATAATGCAAGATAACCCAATCACATTCCAACCGCGTCTGAGCTGGTGTCGGGGCTTGACTAAGTCCGCAAGCACCGCGCACTGTCAAAAGGTCTCGATGACGTCACCCTAAGAACCAAGCCCACCGAGTTGGCTAAGCTAGTCCTCGAGATGAACCTAGTCATCTCCGACGGAGCAAAGCAGGGTGACGTGCAAACTTGCTTTAGAATAGGCGTCTGGTCGTGTTATCAATTTAACCAGCGCCAAAGTAGGAGGTAAAAGAACAGAGGCGCGCTGATTGAGTTTAAACGGATACCTGTCCTCACCTTGCTGAGGAATTCCCAATTTTGACCACAGAGTTTGCGCGGCCCGCGGTCGAACTCTGAAGAA